AGGGTCATGCCACCTGTTGTACACGGACCGTACAAACTCTTCCAATGTCTGGGTCTGGGCGCAGGCATCGAAGTTCTAATCGTAGCCCTGCTGCTGCACTAGGCCATTCAACCAACGGGCTGCTGACCCCTCTAAAAAGGAGGCAGCCACAACAACTTCCTGCTCTGGCCTAGTAAGCTTGTGCCTCACATAAGTAGGCACCGTCCTTACCCAGGTATCCAAATCCTCGTCCTTCTTCCTGTCGCCGGAGAAGAGCTTAGGACTCAGCAAGGGTATTTGGGGCATCCACTGCATAGGCTGCATTCGCCCAGGGGCTTGCTGCAGTGGCTGCATAGCCACCGAAACAGGTTGCTGCACACTAACTTGGGCCTGACTTGATAGTGGGACTGTAGTAACCACTGTTGTCGATGGTACGGCTGAGACTCTATGAACCGGACCACTAGTTGCTACAAAACCACCTGGAGGGGGCATGCCAAACATAGGTGAGAATGAAGGCCCTACCGGCGGCAGCGTTACTGATGGACCTGCACCTGGAGGGGGAACTACAGCATACTGAGGCTGCCTCATCAATGGACGAGGAGCCCGTAGTGCAGCCAGAATCTCTTTCTGGCCTGCCACTAGTTCAGCCAGCACTTCCTGCAGGACAGCCTGCGCTTCCGCCATACAAAGAAGCGAGTTACGCAGCGCTCGTATCGCAGGGTCAAGCGCTGTCTCATCTAATGCTTCCAATCTGCCTAGCTCCTCTCTTCTACTACCTAGTCTAGCTTTCCTCATGATTGTTTTTCTTCTCCTCTCTGCTGCCTCATCCAATTGTCGTTGTAGCTCATCCTGAAGTTCTTCTGCTTGGAGGATTTCATAATCCTCCGGCGTGAGTTGAGTCTGCTGGCTGACTCGCAAGCCAGCAATCTGACTAATGGACCCCTAAGAACCACTTTGACTAACTCCCGACGAAGTAACCGATGAAGAAGCCTGCGACATGGTAGAGGAAGTTGCCATGGTCGTGCCGGTACTAGCTATAGTTCTAGACCTGGCGCTATCCTCAGCCACCCTCACTCTTCTTGCCGCTGCTCTCTCTCTCTAGCCTCCCTCCACAGTCTCCTCTCGTCTCGTGGACCTAGCTCTAGGAAAGTCAAGGGTCGACTACGAGCACTTCCACGAGTAGTCCTACGGTCGTCCACTAACAACTCCTCCTCGCTAGTGCTTGCATCACTCATGAGCTACAGTGTGTGTGATCTAAACTAGAATCCACACTGAATCCTACCTTAGCCTGACACACAACCGATTATGAATCACAACTAATTTCGGTCGGATTGAACAGAAACAGTTAGGTGATGTAGTAATCAACTAATGTCAGATCCTACAGGAAATATCACATCTACTTTTAGATTATCCTAGAACTGATTGCAATGCAGCAAAGATCTTATCTGTCTGTAGCCGTCTGTCGGTTGTTAGTCAAGTCTGTAACAACTAGATAATCAAAAATAAAAATAATATCTCCTGTTGGAGATGTATACTGGATGGCAGATTGTCTAATGATTCCCACTGTGAACAGTTACCGGAACCCCCCCTCCCCCTGTATCCTTTTTGAGTTGTCTCTTTGTGTTGACTCCCTAAGCATCTGGTTGAGCAGCGTGTCTGAAGGTGTGCAATCCGGCCCACCCCTGTGCCCCAAGTCAACGCCGAACCTGCCAGCCCCTGCACATTATTTACCCTCGCATGCAATGAGCCTTACACCCGGTTTGATCTGGCTGATCAGGAGGCATTTAAGGAGATCCCCCGTAACTCCTCATGAATTATTTAACGTCGCAGACAGGACGACGATCACAGCCAGAGTCAACACCGAGTCCCCGCTAGAAATATTTAAAGACGGTCTGGTAAGTGTCTGTCAAAGGGCTGCCATGCCCTGCATGACCTCTATTGCGCAAGGCAAAGCATGCGTGTACTAGTCCCAGCGGGTTGGCATGGTGACGGTGACCCGTGTGCTTCGTCCAGGGCCCTTCAGAGGCTTCGCCCTTCTCCCACCAGCTTGCTGCCCAGGAAGAATGTCGACTCTCAAGGTTGAGTGTTCGCGACACCTCACATCGAGAGGACTCTCAAGACAAGACTCACTTCCTCACGGTAAGAAGTAACGAAGAGGGTAGATAAGGAAGAGAGCAACGTACCTCATAATGCTGCCCCCAGCCACAGATTTCTCACCGGCAACCTGATGTGCATTTATGATGACCGGTCTTTGCCTCTGCACAACCAACAGCAGAATGCAGTTCCACCTTGGCTTAATATGTCACATCAGCGAGCTCTCATCATCCAGCATACACCCCGTATGTCACCACATAGCTTCCTGGCGCGCCCACACAACCCTGGGCCGCCTTATGTTCAACGCCCAAGCCTTATCACTGCCCCACACCTCATGCGAAGCACCGAACAGCTATTGCGAAGAACCAATGAAGCGCAATATCAACCAGCTCCGATACCAAATTGCAAGGAAAATAATTAACAGCGAGATGACAAAATGCAGATTACACCATCACATTGAAAGCCAGATAGTCACACTGTGTCCAGAGAGCAGCATTGCACCAATAATGCACCAATGGAGGTTCGTAGTACTGAAAACCAATGTCAAGGAGAGCTTTCTCTCTCCGCCACAACTCAAGAGTCCAGTCCCTTCACGCTCCTACTTGGCACTCAGCGCCCAGCCTACTCCTACACAGCTACGATCAGCCTACTAGTTGATAATGCAACTGTTGACATCAGCGGCAACCCGAAGTACTTGAAGATGTCGCCCAAATGCTGACCATCGCCAATGCAAGGTATGCCCTCACATTATCATCATCATCATCCTTCGCCCTTCCCTGACTTTACACCCACGTATGTCCTCCCTAACACCCAAAGACCATTCATGCGCCGCACTGTAGTCCAAGCCCACCAGCTATGGTGGCTGGGCTATGGCGCTGCCCTCAGCAGCGCCCTGCTTCCCTGCACGACTGCACGTGCTGCACCTCGCGTCTCAGCGCCAGCAGCAGCCCACGAGCAATTGCTCCAGCAGCGCTGCCGCCAGCATGTGAGTGCCTGAATGAGGCTGCCTGGGGAGAGCTCTTTCCTTTATGGAAAGAGCTGGCCTGCTCATGCAGCCTGGGTGTCCTGGCCTGGGCCCAGAAGCTTCCGGAAGGCCCCGGGATGCTGCCTTTGCGCTGCAGCTACTGGGCCTTGTTCGGTTGGGTCTCCCAACTGTCAGTGTATGAGGCTGCGATTCACGCCCAGGGCCTGCATTCTTTGGAAAGGCCCGGTAGGCCGTGGAAATGTCTTGGTTGCTCGGCCTCTTTTTCTCTCAACCAACTGGCGCGTCGCAACCGCCTGTACCCCAAATATGAAATTGACAGTCAAAGGCCTCTTGTAATGTGTTAGGCCCGCCGTCACTTAGGGCGGGCACCACTGCAACCGGGGCCCCTTAGGCATGCCGAGGACCCAGATCCTCGCACTTTTGTAAAAAACATCGTAGAATACTTAGCTAGTGGGTCCAGGCCCCAGGGCATGCAGCCCAGTATTCCCGAAACCAACCAATACCCGCCATGTGGTTTACTGCTCTTCTCATCTGTTTTGTTTTCGTTTTTTTTAACTTTTTTTCGTTTTTTTTTTTTCGGTTTTTTTTCATCTTTTTTCCTAGGCTACCAGAGTGGGCCGGGGTCACTTGCCCGGCCAGGCCAAAAAAAATCATAAATTAAAATAAAAAAATAGTTTTAAATTTTATTTTTTATTCTAAACATGGTGAAGAATTTCGATGTGACCCTGAGGTATAAGTTGTTCAGTTTATTTTTCGGCATAACATAGTTTTTAAACTTTTTTT